AGAGAGAGAGAGAGAGAGAGAGAGAGAGAGAGAGAGAGAAAGCGAGCGCTGGGGTTGTAGCTCAATGGTATAGCTCTTGCCTAACATGTCTAAGATCCCCAGGTTTGACCCCTGAATACTGAAAAGAAAGGGGAAAAAAAAGAACCAAGAGAAAAGAAAAAAACAAAACAAAACAATCCCAGTAAGGAATGGTACCCAGCTGTGCTTAACCACGGTGGTGTTTTCATTAGATCATGCTCTAAGGAAGCCTTTGGGGGTTTGCAAACCTTGCAGGCATCCTTTGCTTCTGATGGAAGTTTATCGTTGAGTCATTTGTAGAGCTTGGTCATCTGCCCAGCACTGAGCTCATAAATTCTCCAGATTATAGTGAACAGATGAGAGCCATGACTGAGAGAGTCGAGTGATGAGACAGGGTGGAGTCTAACACTAGGCCAGTGCTCGTACGTGGCTGGGACAGTTGATACCCCACCCGAGGAGCACAGCCAACAGCCATTTTAGATTTAACTGTAATTGCTCAAGACTCAGGTCCTTTGTCCTTAAAGTGGATGAAGTCAAAGGTTGCAATACGGAGGGTAGCAGCCCAAGGGGGAGTTCTCATTCTTCTTTGAACTTTGGGGCACAGCCTTACATTAGCTTGGATTTTTACTGTCTAATTTTTTCTTTTCGGAGATGCTTTTAGGGTTGGGCAAGAGAGTGCCTAGCTCTTCCTCAGGATACAGGCTGAGGTATTTGGAATAATGAGGGACACAGGACCTTGCGGTCTGGAGCCCTAAGTGTCTTTCTTCCCAACTCAGGGCGGCAAATGGAAGGACTGTGTAAAGCTGGGGCTTTGTACATCTGACTCTTCGGCTGGTTGTTTTCCCTTTGCCTCAGGATCTCTGAAGGGGGTCTATTGGTTCATCCAATCATGATGGTGCTCTAAGGAGGGAGTCCCTGGGGACACGACCTCCTAGATTTTGTTGTACAAGTCAGTCATCTGGGAGCTGCTAAAAGGGAGGGTCCTGCTTGAGCAGATCTGGGTGGGGCTTGAGACTTTGCACTGCTAACCTATTCCTAGGTGATGCAGGGGCTGCTTGCTCGGAGGACCACAGTCTCTGTAGGAAAGGTCCAGGGGAAAGTACCACATCCACAGATGCGGGGGCCTGCACAGCTTCCCAGGTAAAGGACTATCAGAAGCATAGAAGGAACGTTCCTACTGGGCTTCCTTCCACCCAGCCGGGTTTTGGCTTTTGTGTGCTTGCTGTGACACATT